CAAGATAACAATATCATGTGAGTGTGTACACTAATGTAATATCCGTTCGCATTCAATGCGTGGCAAATATTATATATGTTAGAAATCATATTATATTGAAATTGTAAAATATTAATTGAGTGCTTGACTTGTTAACTTGGATCGTAGAACGATTGAGTACCCCGACTAACTTTTCCTCGCATTTTAGCATACCTACTCATTAATATATTTAAAATAAAAATTCGTAAGAGTTTTCTGGTATTTAGGCTAATGTACTGTGATCTTTCTTCAATTATTTCAATTATTTCTAAATTACATTTTTATTTCATTAAAACGCAATGATATTATTTAATACTAATGCAATCGAATTCCAAAAAAAAAATTAAAGAAAAATGTATTTAAAAGTTCAATCGTGAATTTATGAGGTGTATTAATTTAAAAAAAAATAACGAAATGGTTCATACCAGAGTTCATAAATCATTAACTTTTTCTCGAAATTGAACTTTGAACATAGTATAATTTTGATTAGCCATCTTAAACGGAACAAAAATTATAATGAATAAAAGAAAAAAAATTATATTTATAAATATTATATCAATATTAATTTTAATATTATATTTATATTAATTTTAATATTATACATATTAGTGTATAATATTATTATGAAATATTTTGAAATAATTGATTAATTTAGACTGTTTTTATAAATTTCGAGATTTTTTTATAAATACATTTTTTTTATTTTTCTATAAGTACATAATAATATATATCCATCAGTAGTGGCTTGTGGAGTTCATTGAAGGTAGGGCACAAATATTTCTTTCATTTTCCATTATCACAACTTTGAACTTATCACTAATAATGACTAAACACCATACTCTAAATAGTAAAATAACTTTAAATCGTTCAATAAAATAAACAACGAACAGAGAATGAACAATAAAATAACAGATTATTATCATAATATGTTATTAAAATATAAAGTCTGTGCCACATAAGACGTTTGACGATAGCAATACGATAAGACCGAAAAAATTTCATAAATCTTAATAAAAATAGAATCCGGGTACAATCGGATTGTTCACGACAACTCTATATTAATTCATGTCGAAAAGTGGGGGAAATCTAGTAACGTTGATCTAGCCATCAGGGCACAACGAATTTGTGCCCGTTGCCCAATGCCCGTATAATATTATATGTACGTATTGTACGCCCCTATTTGATAACATTTTTTTTCGATAATATTTTTTAATAATATACCATCTATATGTATAATAATAGAAGAAACACTACCTACTCAATTTTAAATGGGTTAGACCGTTTTCCACCAAAAATGTACACTAACCTTTTCGGCCGATTTACTTTTCGACCAAATTTAAAATACGAGTAGATCAATTCCCTTTTGACCAAAATCGTACTTTTCTCTTTTCGACCAAAACAAAGTTTTATTTATTGTATGTAAAAAAATAAAATAATTTATATATAATTGTTTTTTTTTAATTAGGGTAATTGTATAATTATATAATTTTGAAAATGATTAAAAGTATAAATTTCATAAAATGTTGTAAAATAAAATGTAGAAAATTATTTAAGATATAAGAATATTTATAAATTAACATTATTTTTATGTTTATATGCCATAGTATATAATATGTATAATATTATATAAAAATAAATAAAATCTAAACCATATGAGTAGGTTTGTGACATATTAGTATAAAAATGATGTTAATATATAGATATTCTTATATTTTAAATAATTTTCCACATTTTATTTTACAATATTTTATGCAACTTATATTTTTAATAATTTTCAAAATTATATAATTATACAATTACCCTAATTTTACAAAAATTATTTATCAATTATTTTATTTTTTTACATATATTATATAAATTTTTGTTTTGGTCGAAAAGGGAATTGGCCAAAAAGAGAAGGGTACGTCTTTGATCGAAAACGACCATGCCCTTTTAAATATTTCAAAAATATTTTTTCTTTCTTTCTATTTTGAAGGTGGGGCACGTACCCGTGTGCCCTATAGCACGAGCCGTCACTGATACCCATAATACAGGCGTACAATATTCTATTTATAATTCACAATACCATTTTGACGGTGGATGACAGAGAACAGAATTTGACAGATAAGACAGTAACGAATAATCGAAGTTTTCTGTAATATCAAAACAAAATACATCTCTCAGTATACATATAAGCCCATCAAAACTATGTCTTATTTCCTATAAGGTTTATAATTCCCCAAAGTTAATGTTTCTATCAAAAATGTTTATAAGTTCATAAAGTACCACTCACATTTAATTAAATAATACTATTTTAAATTAATACACGCGTATGCAAAAGTTGTTTGTTATATAAACTTTATAATTGGCAGAAATATTTAGCCACTTTATTTTAAACATATTATACAGGCTAAACGGCTAAACGATAAACTATTGTTATGAATTAAATATTATAGAATTAACTAATTTAAAAACATTAAGATAATCTGTAAAGCTATATAGAGTTTAATCTTTTACATAAAAAATCATTAAACAAAATTCATCTACTTTCTTAATAACAATAAGATATTTACATTGATTACTCGAGTAAAAAAAAAAAAAAAATTAATAGTACAAAATTTTAATAATATTTACAAAACCACGACCATTATAAAATGTTAGCATTATAATATTAGTGTTACTATTGTAATTATCTGAGCTCAATCTAAAAAGGTGATTTGTTTTCTTCTTATTCTTCTTAACACAACTCGAAATATGGCCTATACACTCAATATTATTGTTTAACTTTTAGAAGGGGCTAAACAATTTTAAAATATAGTGGATAAGCTCCCTTAACACCCTAAATATGTTGCTTGAAACTGATTTCCCGCTCACCATTCATCCGTCAAATTTACCAAACAACCCCCAATCGTCTATTGCTTTTATTATAATGAGTTCGTTTGATGTATTATTGTCAGCCAACAAAAATGCGACTGGACAGCTGGAGGCACAGCATTGGAAGGACATGCTAAGCAAACCAAAGCAGAGCGTGGAATACTGGCACCGATTGAAACCTGAATAATTTATTTATTGTCGATATAATTGATATTATTATTATTATTATTATTATTATTATTATTATTACTATAACTATAATAAGACGAGTGTGTTATGAAGTTTTTATTCAATTTTATTTGTTTATTTTTTTGTTTTTTTAAAAATAATATTATATTATACCGTAAGAATAATGGAACAAAAAATAATAATACATAATATTTATTACAACAATATTTTTCTGCATTTGATAAAATTACATAATATATGATTTATATAAATATAATAATAATATTATTAACAAATATTTAAAACTAGATAAGGGAAATCATATTATATAATTATTTTTGTTTTCAACAAATTATAATATTAATAACGGAAAAAATATAAAATATAGCATTATTATTAATTAAAATATTTTAAGTGTGAAAAAAATAACATAACAATACAAAACGAAAAACGACAATATACGACGATGTATACTTAGCTACGTTGTTGGATATTATCGCTGACCAACAAAATTAGGTGAAAATTGTTGAAGCACCAAAATGTAGTTTAGATAAATAATCGGTAAGTAATGTATTAATGATGTTACAATACCGATTTATGTATCTACGTATTTTATGTATCTGCATACGTATAAAAATAATAAATTTATAATATAAAAGGAGTGATTGTTCTTTAACAGTGAACATTCATTATTTTGTTAAGTTTAACTAGATGTATTTTCAAAATATTTGTACTTACATCATTTCGATTCATTAAAAAACAACATTATTGAAAAAAGTATGACTTTTGTTCACTTATTTTTATCGTTATCGTTATTAAGTTTTTCATTTTTTTTTAATGATAATATACATGTTTAGTTTCACATTCCTAAGCAAAACATTTTTCCGAGAATTTACGAAAATTTAATGTATCAGACAAATATTCTTCCTTTTGAATATTAAATCAAAATAGTTACCAAAAAATACGGTAATAAAAAATATTTGTTTTTCAAAAACGTTGTTTCGTAGTGAATTCGAATTATGTTAAAAAAAAATTATATTTCCAAAATCTTAATATTTTTTAATACTTTTCGAGGTGACGAGTGTTAACTGTTAAGATAAATCACTTCGAATATTATATCTATATTGTGTGTGACAGAGTGCATGTGTTACTTGTTTATGTGTGAGTGTGTGTTTGTATATTATCGTAGGGTTAATTTTTATTTTAACCTTAGTATTTTTAATTCATTATTATTATTATGAAAATTACTAAAATTATTATTATTTTATTTATTATGATTATGATTATTATTATTATTATTATTATTATAATTATGATTATTATAATTATTATTACGATTATGATTATTATTATATTTATGGTTATTATTATTCATCAGTCTTGTATACACGATTGATGTTTTATGACCACATGCATATATGTCGCCTGCCAATAACAATACGTGATATATAGACTCAAAAAAATATTTGGATTGTTCATTATTTATATTTTGTTCGTTTATTACCTATTACATACACACGTTCGGAACAAAAAAATAACTGCTTAAGTTTCATTATATAATCAACCTTTACGTCCTACTCTATAATATTATAATGTTGTGTATTTACATGGTTCTTACAACAGCGGTGTTTGTTCGGCGTCTCCATTGACCATTTTGCTCGTCCACGCCCCGCCATATCATAGTTACTATTACTACTACTATTGCTACTACTACTACTACTACTGCTACTACTGTTATCATTACTCTTATTTTTATTATTTAATATCATTATCTTTGTGACAACTATCGTTGTCGTCGGACACGGTGGATTTGCAGTCACCGCGGCGGTTTAAATGCGTATCGGATATTATAATATTTAAATTACTATGGGCGTAACGACCGCCCAGTTTTTATTTAGTCTAACGCCATTTTAACGAGTGTTCCTATATTATAATAATACGATAGTCGATGTACACAAATATAATAAGGTTATCGTACAATATATTATGTTATAATATTATAATAATATGACATTATTATTAGCGGGTAAGTAAAGTGTTCGTGAACGTGAACGGACGTGACACGTCCGATGCGGCCGACTGTCCAGTCACTATGCCGATATCGATGGCAATACCGTTAAATTATTCCTGAAAAAAAAATAAAAAAAATACACAAATATGTATAAATATTAACAAAGTTGAAGATCCGCAGGCCTAGATGTGACAGGTCCTATAAGTGAGCATAATATCGTGACGTTTAACATGTATGAGGCGATAAGATCATCATTGTTATTATAATTTATTATTATTATTATTTTTTTTTTAAGTCAGCCTCGATGGTATAAATAATTCATGCGTTTTTAAAATCGATTTATGTCATCATGAAATGTTTATCTGTAGTCAAATACATTAAAAAAAATTGATACATAGTTCCTTTACTATTTGTCTTAATAAAAAAAAAAAAATAGATAAATAAATCTATAGTAAAAAATAACCGTTGTCATTCTCTTGTTAGTTTTAATAAGTAACTATAGTTTTCTAACCATAAATTCAATTTTATAAATTTTAATATATAAACATAGAATAAACAAAGCGAAATAAATTTAAATGAAAAACCATTGTGTTATATACACAGCAAAAATCGACTGCGGGTGTGCAAAGAATATATTTTCTTCCTATAATACCTAAATTGTATTATTACTTATGAATTTGACAAAAGACTTTTAGAATTGAATTCATTACATTTTCTAAAAAATAAGACCTCTTGATTTTCGTTATTTTCAAAATAAATAATTAAAATTTGAACGTAATAAATTTTATTTCGTTTAATTTATACAGTTCTTTCAAAAATAAAAATGTTATGAAAAAAAACTACGAAATCATGAGCTTTAATGGAAATCACGATATTAAATTGCATATGTTAAATTAGAGTTTTATTTTGATTTAATAATGAACATAATCTATAAGTGATTTATAATTATACAGATAATATTTTAAAGAATTATACCAAGATGGTTAATGTTTGAATTGAAAACGCTATTATAATTTTTAAAAAAATATTTAAATTGTGTAATAAAATAAGGTATATAATTTGATTATTTTTCATCGCATATTATCATAACAATTATAAGGATAAAATAATATATATATATATTATATTATAACTTGACATTTCTCGAAATTAAAAAAAAAAAAAAAATTGTTTGTGCGCACGCTTAAATTACAATAAAACATATATAATTTAAACATCTTACTAAAACATGAATCTTCCACTCTTCGGCCATAAAATACTGACTTTGTCGGCAACTAAAGAAACTTTCACTCATCGGTTAAGACATAGGACTATTAATAAAAGCAATACAATTCGTTTATAATATTATAACTAATGTCATGTTTTTACCCGGCGCTATAACTTCAAAGGTATTTGAACAATGTACCTATACTTCGTCGAAATAGCTCGGGCATGTTCGTTTCTAATGAAAAAATAGGCAAGTAGCAAATTCTGAAAATGGCGAATCAATCGAATAAAAATAGTCGTAGTAAATCCAATGGACGTATTTCTGTCTTGTGGTTATAGCTTTAAGTAAGAGTGCCGGCTTGACGGACATTTAGAAAATAATTATACCTAGGTATACTATTTGCTTGTTCGCCATAATAATTTAATAACCAAAGATGATATTGTCAACGTCGGTGATAGTAACGAAAAGAGCGTTTTACGCGTATTTTATAAAGACGGCCAGTCTAAAGACGTAATGTTATTAAAGTTAAACATTCTATACTGCGATGGGGTAAAGCGAAGCGAATGACCTTCAAGTTTTTACCTTTTGACATTGAACTTTGAGGAGACTATAACATGGCACACGCACGGAAGACTCAGAGCTTACAAAATAATAATCGTCATCAAACTTCATCGTCACAATACGTTCGCTCGTATATGTGTAGATACTTTTCGTATATTATTATATTGCGGTTAGCGTGGGATGTCGTACTGTTATTAGACTATTATGGTAGGTACCTCTATTATAATAATATTATGTTGTATACTCACAGGTCGATATTATGAATTTTTGAATTGGTGCACACCACCGACACCTTGACGTGACATTCCTTGTGGCATTTGATCAGGCAATCCCTGCACTCGTACCCTTGTTTTCCGATGCGTCTTGGGAAGTATTTCGCGCACACCAGGCAATTTAGACGGCTGTTAAACAAACGTCATTAGTCAACATTTTTTAGGCATAGCAGAGTTACATCAATTTATAGTGATGAACTGTAGTATAAGACTTCTAAACTTCACAGTCAGCGAAATGATAACATATTTCTATCTACTCAGTACTCACATTCTAATATCGATTGCCAAAAACCAATTTGTAAAATTACATAGTTATTGTACAATATAAACAATTTACAAAGAAAACGAAACAAATTAATTTGATGAAAATAAAACAATTTTAATTTTGAATGTTTTTACTATGTACTAACATAACAATATGACAATTATATTATCCAATACCTATATTATAGTTTTAACCCATGAACAGTACTTGAAATTATATACTTAATTTTGCTTGATTTGCAGATTTATTGATCGATTTGAATGTAAAAATAAACTATGATTACCAAAATGTATTAAAACTATTTTTTTAACGATTTTAAATAATTTATATGAAATAATATATTATTACATTGAAAAGGCGAGTTTTTAAGTTAATTTTTATAATAAATACTGCTCGATTAATAGAAAAATACGATTTCCTAACACTTCAACCGGCATTGAAAATAAAACTTTTAGTACAGACGAGACCAAAATATAAAATATATTTTAAAACGCGTTAATAATTCTTGAAACAATTTTATTAGTGTTAATATTAAAACAAAAACAAAAAAATTCGCTTCATTGTAAAACGCTATAGAACATTGAGTTTTGATTTGTTTTCTTACGAAAAACTTAAGTGAACTTAAAAATAGAAACTACTTGCTGCCCTGTGTTTGATTGAAAATACTATAAGAAAACGTAATTTCAGTGCCGTGATCGACTAAATTTCTCATACCTTTTAAAAGTATGCTTTTATTTATGTAAACATATGCAAATAGTCAAAACGTACCTGGACAAATGTTTGGCAACGAACGTATGATCGTTATATATGTGTAGTTTAACACCAGCTCTCTTCCATTTGCTTTTCTTGGCCTGAGTGAATGGTACCAAATAATGCCTGTAAGTTATAAAACAAAATCCGTTAAAATTTGTGTTTACGTGCAGTTATTATAGTACTTAAACATTATATCTGATGGTGTTAATAACCTAAAAAAACATAAATAATGATGACCAAATAATTTAAAATTAAGTTTTTGTTCGTATATTTCTCGGCTAGGGTTAGGTTAGGTTACCTAACCTAACCTAACCTAACCTATCACCCAATACATTATTTATCAAATACTGCTTATTACTACTTTTAATGTTTTTTTTTTTTTTTTTTAATTGAATAATTGGAAATGATATTATTGATATAAAAGTCGTAAAAATAGCATTTGCATAAATGTAAATATTAAATTTTCAAATTTAATGTGTAAACTGGGTCTCGTATTTTATATATTATATTTTTTTAATTTTAGGGATATGAATTAACTAGATATAAAATATCTCTTTTTTCGTTAAACAATTCACAAAAATTCATAATCTAATAGTAATCTATCTCCTATATTTCTTTATTTTAATTTTAAAATAGTAATCACAAAATATTTTAAAACCATTTATTCTTAACAATAGACAATGTTTATTATTCAAAAGTTATTCATTAGCTCATGTCTCGTTATTCTATGATATTATATTATATTTTCCACTAAACTTATTACCTACAATAATATTATAACATTGTTTCTTACCCGTGGATTAATTGAGTCGTGTGTAATATACGTAATTAAGTTAGCAAAAAAATATTGGTATCGAATTTACAATTCATTTTCCATTGCCAGTTCACTAGACCACACGGTGTTTACAAATAATCAAGGTAAGCACAGGTAATGTCTGCATTTTTCTTTAATTAATATTTTTTATACTTGACATTATGAATTTGAGACATTTATAGTATGTATAAAATAAAATTACTGTTAAAAAGTTAATCCTAACTGCTAACACAAATATATAAGCTTAAATTTTTCAATCGTATCAGTTGAACAAGTAAAATTATATTTCGAAAACAAAATAACGATTAAATAATACTTATTTAATGGACAGTGTCAGGAATAGATAATTTATAATTTATATAGATAAAGATAAAGATGACTGTACTAATTTTTATCCAAATAAAGATGAAGATAATAAAACTTAATTATATTTAGGTAAAGATAAAAATTAATACATTTTTATCTAGAGAAGTATCAGATAATTAAAAAAAAATATATATATCATTTAAAATATTTTAAAATATAAACATAAGATAAAATAGTTTATTCATTAGAACATGTGAAAAATCATTCCCTGATTTAACAATTTAAAAAAGCTTAAATTTGAAAAAATATAAAATAGTTAATTTTTGAATAAACTTTATAAGAAAATAACAAGTCAATCTCTGAGTTAAAAAAAAAAAAAAACAAAAAAAAAAAATTTAAAAAAAATGTTTTTAATTTTAAAATAAATTATCTAGATAGGTACTCATAGATAACTAAAATTTTATCTAGATGAAGATAAATATAAATAAATTGAGAATTATCTAGATAAGATAAAAGATAAATCAATTATATTTAGATAATTTACCTAGATATTTCCCAACACTGGTAATGAGACAAAAAATTTCCGACTGGACGACGAAAAAAAAAAAGACGATTCCATGTGACTTTTGCTATGAACGGCACCAAATCGTATATAACTACTTGCTCGACTTCGGAACACTTTAATAAACATTATATCAGTGTTTAAAATTTAAATCAAACGTTGTCTCGTGAAATTTGTCGATGGATTAAATTCTTCCGGCGAACTAATTTTAAAAACACCGTATTCGAATTCAACGCGGTAATATATGTATAATCGTTTCAAGAATATTAGTTTTTATCTTGTTTTATTTTTCTCAACAGTTTTCTCTAAATATAACAGTATTATAGTTTGTACAGTATAACAATGTTATTTTTATTGAACAACAATAATAGTATAGTTTACGTGTAGTTTATAAATGAAGCTTCCGAACAGCAGAACGCGTACGTTAAGTCGTTTAGTGCATTGTTATCCATTTTTTTATACACTCATATTTTAAAAGTATATGGGTAGGTTTACAGTATTCAACATTCATTTCATAATACATTTTTTTATTGTCTTCTTCCATCCAGATATTATTAATATTTTTTTTCTCCGTTTGCAAAAAATATACTCGTAGAATAAAATATAAAAAGGGTTAATATTATTTACTCGTATTTTTTATTTTCGTTGTTGTTATTTTAATGCGGCCTGCAAGAGAACCGAAACAATTTACAAGTTGTCGTACACTTAACGTTGAACAAAACAAAATACTATCATCACACGCAGACTCATGTTCACTAGTTGGATGGGACGTTTTCCGTCGGGTGCAGTTCGCAAATTCGCAAATGACGTTATAGGCACCTGTGCGATACTATTTGTTTTTACGTCACCTTGCCCCTCTTCCATCCTTTCCTCGCATCACCATACGAAAAACACGGTTCGGCGTTTTTCCATCGCCCTCGTTCTTTTCAAGCAGTGAGCATAATAACACATTGTGAACTGTATATTATAGACAGTAAAATGTTACAAATAATAAAACCGTGTTTATTTAACGGCGAGATAGTATATAGTGTTGATGATGGTGACGACAACGATGATGGTAATAATGATGATGATGATGATGATAATACTATGCACCGGACTGACCTACATAACAGTACGATGTAGGGAGTAAGTCGAACGTGAACAAAGACTCGAAAGGATGTTATGTCGCGGAACAATCATGGCAATTATTATTTGCGCGAGAGTGACTAATAATAAACACTCTTATCGCCCATTGGTCAAAATTTAATGGTAAAAACTGCTTTAAACTTAAATTTTAAAATCAACATGATCTAAAAAATTATATTTTTATTGCATAATCATTTCGGTATTGGCATATGTACTTTTTCTCTTTTTACTCATATCAAAACTTTGGAAAATGGTTTTTTTTTAATGTTTTAAAATGGTTAGTTTATAAACTACAAATATACAAGCATTTATTTTTAATGTACATCTTAATAACAAACAGTAATTAACTATTATTTTTTTTATATTATAAAAATCAGTTAGGCTTATTGCTTTTTATATTTCTCATTACCCGACTATGCACAATAACATTTTTGAAAATGTTATTTCACAAGACAAATAACATCACTAGTGTTTTCCTTAATAGTATTTTTATATTTCACCAGTCTTAACGGTATCACATTAATATTTGTACCATTCATTTTATGCAAACCAATTCTTCTTGATCTATCTATTATGCATTATATAGGCAAAGTTATTGGTACGATAAAAAAAAAAAAAGTGTTTGTGTATGTATGTATGTATAAATATTAAATAATTATGATAATAACTTAAGCATGGATTTCTATGAAATCGCATATTTTTTCCTTTTTACTCATGCATATTCGTTGACTATTTTCATGATTTTTACTGCATATTATATGATATATTTTGATACTTTTTAGTGTATAAAAGCCGTTGTCTAATAATAATAATATTAACAATGATATCTATAATAATATTATTATTTATCATTATTAATTGGTATATGTATAATACACGATTAGTGAGATTGACGTATGGACATCAAAATACTGTATCAACACGGCGTCTCGGATATGCAATTCAGCTACACCATCGCTAAGAGTCGAGTTTTTCCGGCGATGGTATCTTATAATATTATATTGTTATGACAGCCTTTGTGCTCATCGAATAACGCATATAAATTGGGTGTGCACCGAATCGAGGTACCATTAAAAGCATTAATATCGTTATTATCATTATCACATTTTAATGATGTAATCACAGGGCTTGAAAGTTATTTAAGTTCTAAACGTTATTAATGATTCGACCTTTCGTATGTCGCCCAAGATACTAGTAAAATATATGCGCCATAAAAAATCTCCGAAAATAAGCCAAGATTATATTGTTAGAAAATATTGCATTCGTTTAACGATATTTTGTTTGAATAATTTTAATTTTTTTTTTTTTTCGTTAACCGTAATATTATTTATTGAAACGACTTAAAACAAATTGCCTTGTATTGAAACTCGCTTTTTAACGTCCATGCAGACTATTGGATACTAAAATATCCACGTAGACAAGAATTTGAGTGAATATTATATTGCATCTTACCATTTATAAGTAGGGTAAAACGACTTACGTATAGCGTTTGGATATTAATGTTACAAAATCTTAAAAAAAAAGATCGAATAAAAACAAGTATATTTTAGTGTTATTACTAGGCAATAATTGTAACTGTAGGTTGCATAAAATATAGGTTTTTATTGTTTTGAAATAAATTTATATTTAGGTTTATTTTAGATTTTTGAAATATTTATACTTTTTTATTATTTAAATATAATTTCTTTTAACTCATGTTAATAAAATATTACAGTCATTTCTTACATCATTTAGTTTTAATTGAAAGCCTCTAAAAAATTCCACTGTAGAATATATATATTTTAGTTTTATTATACATACTTAAAGCAAAAAAAATTGTTTAAAGTGTGTTGTTAATATCCAGTACTACAAAGTTTGCTTTATACATTTGTATAATTTGATAAATAACCTCATAATGTTATTATACATATTTTTATAATGTCTAACTCATAACACATTTCAAATAAAAAATAGAAAATGTTAAATGCATTTATAAACATGCGTTTGTTATTTAATATTGTTTGATAATTATTTAAAATTATAAATTTATATTTATAAAAACATATAAGTGATTTAAGTGATTCTTTATTACCATTAATGTGGGTAGTTACCAAAAGAAAATGTTTAAACAAGCAATAATAAAATTAATTTATACAAACAACTAACATAAATATCATCATTTGACTCCAAAAAGCGTAACGTATAATAGAGACCTAGTTGATAGGTTTTAACTGATAAAATTATGATCACAAAAATTGTAGTTCTTGAACTATGTCTATGAATGTTGATAAATTATTCATTATTAATATTTGTTAAGTGTCAATCAATCACCAGATTAGCTCATATTTATAAAAATAATAATAACAACACTAATAATGTATTACGATGAAACTGCTTTTTATTTTTTAATACCTGTTTTTGTATTTTATTTTGAGCTTTTTTTCATTAAAATAAAACTTTTATTGGAGCTAACATAGTCTAGTTTAAAAATTAACTCTATCTAACGTATAAAAAAAACATTATTTTTAACTAAGAGCTTATCATTTCTCATTTAAAAAAAGAAATGCTTTTCGTGAAATTCAATAAATCGGCAGTAATGTACATTTTAGAATGCCAATTTCACATTGACAACAACTTTGTTGATGATTTCACGAAATTATAAACTGTTCCACATTATATTCGCAAGTTCAAAAATTGAGTAAATATCATCAAATAATTAACGATAAAAGGTAACACACACGCGGGCGTGCATGCACGTATTGCTTTAAGTTTAACTTACTTTTTCACGTTGTTTTCTGTTGTCTCTAATACCAGTGTAGATGCTTCATTCAGATACGTACCCGTTGAAGTACCACTGGCTCCAGACATTTCACTCAGACTCGACCGCGCTGACCCAGCTCGAGGCGGTGCCAGTAAATCTAAAACACGACGTCAACACCAGTTAAATACAACAAGAAACGAATAATAATGATTTTTTAGTCTATTTATATTATAAAATAATAAACTATGTATTATTCAGTAGAAATCTAAATTATGGGTCACATCTTAATCATCACATAGACCATATGTTTTTAATGCCCAGTTATTTGTTGCAAATCATCTAAAAATGATTTATTTATATGTTTAAATTATTTAATGTTTTTGAAATATGACACATATATTATTACATCCAAGTAATGGGTATACATAAAATATAAAATTATAAAGCTTATTTGTTTTTAAGCTTTTTGACTTAACAAGCTTAATTAATCTGAGTTATCAGATTAAAAATATATTTAAAATATGAGGTATTAGCTTTTGGTACGTGTTCAGTACAATTTATAATATTATACTATGACAATTATTGAATAGCGTTTATAATAATGTATTATTATTTATCATAATAATCAAAATTACCAAATAATACTCAAATCATATGTTTTCAAAATCTACTTCACGTTTCTACGGTAGAACAGTACACGATGATTTACGAACAAATTTCTATTTTTGTCTTCAATATAATATTATAAATATTAATAAGATAGATATCATTATTCAATAGTAAAATATATGCACCATAATTTATATATATATGTGTGTGTGTGTGTGTGTGTGTGTGTGTGTGTAATATTATGAATAATAAACTATAAGATTATACCTATTTAAATAATAAAATAAAATTCTTAGTCCTACAAATAATAGAAAAACATCTAGCAAAATAATTAAAAATTTATATATTACAAAAGTAAAGATAAAATATTGTAACTCTAGTTTAATTTTTAATTATAACTTAAAAGTTTAATTGTTGTCACCGTAAACTTAAATTTAATGAGTAATATTTGTTTTGTTAAATACATTTTTATACATGTTAAATTATCTTTTTTATAATAACAATTACATTTTATTGGAGAAAAACAACGATCATTAAAAAGTAGGCTTTATAATTTAAGTTAATTTCCTGCACTCATGTTTCAATGCTTAAAACCTTTGTAGTATAATGTTTTATTTAAAAATATAGAAAACTAATACTTATTACGATTTTTAGTCAACATTTTCTAATTTGTGTGACACCAAAGAATATTTTCCACCCCTCCATCATCCATCGTAAAGAATATCAAGTGATATTTCAAAGTGCATATTATTTTGTTTATGAAGTATAAAACAAAAATATTATATTTATTATTAGAATAATCTAAGTAAGTTATTAAGATAATTAATAAATTCTTTACCTTTTTAATGACAAAAACAGTTTGTCAAATTTAATGTATAATGTAAGTATAAATTTATACTATACTACAAATTATATACTAGAGCAGTGCATTTATTTATTACGTAATATGTATTAATGAGGATTGAAGTTTGAAATTATATACAAATATTTATCGATGTCTGTGAAAATGACCTAAATTTAAGGTGAAATAAAAAAAGTATATATATATATATATATATGTATGTGTATATATTTATTGCTATCAAAGCACATTTGAGACGGATAAAAAGTTATCAGGTCACTGGTTCTGTTATGAGTTGGTGACGTTGTTAGTATTGTATTATATGATCACAGACCTTTATTTATGAGACTCATCTTACTTTATTCATTTAATCACTAAAAAACGATTGTTTTTATTTATAATGTATTATAATTATGAAAAATAGAGCGTGATAATATTTATGCTTTTAAAAAATAACTGAGTGGAGCCGAATGTAACATAATTTTAGGTTTTTCATTTTAAATTACCTTAAAATAAACGTCTACCCTAGGGATAAAAATTTCGCAAATTCGGGAATAGATTTAACTGAGTATACTGAATATCGTCACAAATACTAATTCATTCAATTATTTATATGTTTTTTTATTTTTGTTATTTTAGAGTATAACCAGTTAGGTTACTTGGTTTATTTATTTTTTTATACAAATAGAAAGTAATATAAAATTTCACATGGGTATAGTTATTTATAATTAAGTACATTTTTAGCAGAAAAAAATAATTAACTTTTACAAAATAAATTCCTGTATTGCTGTATCATAATATAATACTCAGCTACTGATTATACTTTTGCAAATATATATATTAAATTCTGAGAAGTCTAAGGAAAATATAAACAAAAAATCGAAATAGCCATATAAATATTATGTTGGTTAATGATTATTTATTTCTATCATACCTAGTACAAAATATAAACTATCTATTATTCCTAAGAAAGTACATTTTAAATTTGAACCTCATACCTTACATGATACTACGTATACTTTAGAACACATTTTCGCTGTACTGCAAGCCTTAAATTGTATTATTTTTGTAAATGTATAATAAAACGATGGTTGTTGGAATTTAACTACTTTAATAAACGGTCACCTATTACAGTATCATTTTAAGATATAAGACTTCAAATTCTTTGTATATCTGAATTGTTTTATGCCAAGTCAATTTTAACGTTAAAATTATAAACAACTAATACAATTAATTATTATGTGCCAAAGGAAGCTATACATTTCACGGTATGTTATTTGCCATATTCTCATTAGAAAAACGAATTTCACTTTTATAACGTGTAAATATTTTCAGTTTAAAAATGTAGGATATTATATATACTCAATGATATTCCCTATGAATAAACACTTTTTTCAAATCGTATTTTTAAATCACGATAATCTCAATGTTTTTTTTGTAAGAATTATGGTTTTATTTTAATAGAATAAATTTAATTCCAAATTTCAGTAAGTACTATTGTTATAATCTGTCTTGGCTTCTATTCCAATCACAACTACTTTGAAAAGAGGTGATTACTTTAAAAGTAATTACTTATTTTCTCAAATTAATTCTTTAGAAATATTTTTAAATAATTACAAATAAACAATTGCTTTCAAAGATAATTATATAGTTATACGGAATTTCGACACAATTAAAAAGTCTAATTTCAAATGAGTGACTTGGTAATTTGTTATTTATAAGTAATTAAAGTTTTGATGAGTTGCGAGTGGAATAAGGGCAACCCACACAATTTTGGTTCACTATTATGCTCATAAAAACTTTAAATACTTGTAACTTATCGTAAGTGGATTTACATACACTTATATAACTAAATTTTAATGTATTTATTATCTCAAATTATGTAAATAAATTCGTGAAAAACTTCAAAATATATTATCATTTAATTTAACATAAAATAAAATTTCCAATATTGTTATTGAGATACATAAGGATTATAAAAATTCATCACTTTAATTGCATTGATATATCAATAATCTCATAGGAATATTATGTATATTATATAATAAATCAATATTATTAGTTAGATATTTTCGTTTATTCAACTAATTTATATTATACAATACACTTTTATCTATGTCATTTGAGTATATAATTTCAAATTAGCTCTGTTTGTATGTAAATATTTTATTTCTAATAAAAAGTTGGTGGAAAATCGAAAAAAATCAATATTTTAACAGTTCATACACATTTTTATTGATATTTTTTGTGAATTCTGATTGTTTTATAATAAATTGGTAACTTTAGTCATCACAATATTTTTTATTAATGTTATCCTTGATTTTAGTAACATATTTTCCACTTCTTCAATCTTCTAAAATAGAAATTTTGTAATGCGTTATGACTTAGTACAATATTGTTTTAACCACCGTGAAAGAAACTAATGAAGATTAACTACAAAACACACGTTACGATTAATCGTATGTCGGCTTTACACATAGTGATAATACAAATTATGTTTAAAACTATTAGGATTTTAAAGATCCCTGTTGATTTTATGTTAAATAACAATAATTTTACAAATAAATTCGTATACCGTTGAAAAAAAAATATTAAGGGTTTATGACTATGACTTGTTTTAGTTATTTATAATAATTCATTTGAAGCATGCCTGTTAAATGTTTAACATTTATCCAAACCAAGATAAACAAGTTATTGACTTTGAAATACAAATCCAAGCGACTAATTTACAACTCGTTTAAAAAATGATTTTCATATGTTTTTAACTGTATTACCTAATATTTTCTCGATCTAAAATAAATTATACTTCTATTGTTCACCTTTTTGCTTTGGTTTAAATATATTACACAAACCCAATTTTATAACGATTAATGTTTGATGTAAACACAAAAAAACTGAAAATAAATTCAACCATTTAACGAATTATTAAAAGCCGATGTAATAATTTCATGTAGGTTAGAAATAGAATATTGTTTTGTGGTTTATGATTTATAATACAACGACGAACAATATTTTATTACAACTATTGTTTAGATTCGTTTAACGTGCTATAATGGTAACATCAATGACGTGGATGTACAATATTATTATTGCATTCAACTGGACGAAATAAAATAATTGTAAGTTAAACATATATAAATCATTATATGGACTCAAACATTCCGTACAGAAACCTACAGCAAGTAGCGAACACTTACCACTCGATAGACATGAGTGTGTTTTACTTTAACCTCAATTATCGAAGATATTGTTCGTTTTAGGCCGTTACGAAATAATATTTTATAATACGTATGCCAATAACAGCAGTTTTTAAATTACTATATTTCTATCAATTTATATTCATTATTATTATTTTATATTTATTTATGTATTTATTAATCAAGATTGAATATAATATATTATACATTTTTTCTATATAAATATGTAAGTACAGTAAGTTTTTTTTTTTTTACCAACTAAATTACTAAGTAACACTTAGAAATAAGTATCAAATAAATCTAAATGCCAATGTAATTTTTCAAAAATTACAATTGGTTAATTCATTCAAATTTTTTTCATAGCATAGTAGTTCCCCAAAACACGGTATTTGATAATATTAGTCCACAAACCATATTTATACATTTTAAAAATAAAGAAAGAGTGAAGGTTCTGAGCTATTCAAAACCTAACCTGACCTAACTAATTTGAAGACAAATTTGTGAAACTTT